CTTTGCTATGTTGATCTGTGAGCTCGCTTATTTGGCATATACGCACTGCCTTGGCAAGAGTGAGTTCCATCTCTTTAAGAAGGGAACGTCTGATGCTGTCACTGGTTATACCACATACTAATCTGTCTCTGATTAACTCGTCTTGTAGTGCACCAAAGCTGCAGGTTCTGACCATGTTCTTTAACGTGCTCACTGCTCACATATGCTTCAATCGTTTCACCAGGTTTCTGTTGTCTTTTGTTAAAGTTATGCCTCTCCATTATGACATTGGTCTCTGGGTTGCAGATCTCCCTGAACTTTCTGTGAAAGAGCTGTCCGGAGTGCTAAAAGACTCCTTGAAACACAAAACAGTCAGAACAGGTGATAACACCTACAAAATGCCAAGTACGCTCGTCGAGATGTGTCCAGTTCATCTTGTGTTGTAGCGAGCTTTTCGGTTTGAGGCTCGCTCACAGGCAGAAGATGTTGTCTGTTGCGCCTGTATTCTTTTTCGAGTTCCAGCAGGTGTCGCTGTGGTTCTCTCTGGGGGTTATGTATACTTCCTGTTGCGAGTGTACAGACGTTCATGTTGGCTGCTAATAAACGCCTGGCATACAGTTACAGCGACTGATTATTATAAGCAAACCTACATGGTGTCAGAAGTGGGATGTATTAGGAAGCCTGCACAGTCCAAGAAGAAAAGCGGAGCCGGTAAGGACGACGAAAAGAGCAATCACCGCACAACATGGTGGACGGATTCCGGTGCCCAGATCCTCTCATCTTTGACGGCAACGTCGCTGAAAACTGGCGTAAGTTCGAGCGCGAATATGACAACTTTATCGCCGCTGCCCACAGTGACAAAAATGCTAAGACTAAGGCCTATATACTGCTCAATATGGCGAGACCAGAGGCCATTGAAAGAGAGCAATCATTCACGTATGCCCCCGCAGTCATATCAGCTGAAGGCATAGTAGAAGTTGCAGGGGAAGACCCCGCATGTCTAAAGAGAAAGTTCAGGAAGTATACATAACCCCCAGAGAGAACCACAGCGACGCCTGCTGGAACTCTCCATAACAGCAGCAACAGGAGGCAGTATGGACAAACATAACATTGCTGTTATCTACACCGATCATGGTAT